CGAGAAGCAAACATATCACCTCAAAAAAATGAGTTGCCGCAAGTCGCACCTTGCCCTCACAAATGAGTCAGGCAATTCGATGTCCGTGAAGCGGCGACGCTGTGCCTGAAGCAACGTCAGCAGGGGTTCTATAAATAAATGCTTGAGATAACCGCGTAATAAATTAGAGCAATGGAACTGAAGTGCGGCGGCTACAGCATGAAGGTTTTGCAACGAACAGTACCTTGCAAACGTTTGCAGGGTCCACAGCAGCTTCTCAGGGCGCCGCGCAGCTGTTCAGGCTTCCTCATTTGCTGGTCATATGTAGGAAGCTAGCAGCTTTTACGGACGCACCAGAGCTGGAACAGGCCGAAAAGAAGGGCTCAAACGTTGGGTGAAAGTCTGTGATCAAATATCGGACGTTGTGCACATTTGCTAATGGAGCTGGAAGTGCTATGGGAGGTGCCTTTTGTCAGAGGCCAGTTAAATTGTACGGCGCAACAGCTGCAAATCCAAGTGTGTTGGAAAGGTGCAGTTCGGCGAACTCACTTTGTCGACAGTTAGCCTATTAAACTTTTATATTATAGCTGTATGTCACTGCATTATCACGTTCACCTCCGTTCCTCTGCACCTGGTTACGTCCTCCCCGGAAGCAAGATCCCTAAGTGCAAGCCCTTGCAAACAACAGGTCAAGTCATCATGAAGGCCGTTGCTTCATTTTTGCTTATGTGGCATAGCGGGCGATTGGCGTAATCTGTCCATGGCGGAAGTGCCAAGAGCTATTGATACAGCGTTATGGTTCTTGGAGTTCTTCTTGAGTATCTAAGGTGCTTTAAGTCACGTTTGCTTACAAAAGGAACTGCGGCCCGAACAAGGGCGCCATGAACTATCATGGGGGGCTTTCCTTTGACAGGGCTAAGCCATCCGTAGCTTCTTCTTTCGAGGTCATCCATCGATGCACCATCATTGTCACCCAGCACTGCTGTGAGCAGCGAGATCGTGCACCGCCCAGCTCCCTATCACCCTATATCCCTCCCGTTCACCCTCGCCTGTTAGCCCCTTCCCGCCACATTTCCGTTCCCTATCACTTGTTGCCATCCATCCCTTGCTCCAACAAGTTCATGATCAGCTCCATCACTGTGCTGTCATCCCAACACCAAGTGACAATATGTAATCAGCAGCTGCCGTCATGATGCCGACCGAGCTGCGGTAGCCTGATAGTGGTCCACAGGGTGGCTGCAAGACAGACGGTCCGACACATCCAAGTACAAGAGTATGTATGTATGATGTATGGGACAGGGGGGTCATATCTTCACCCTGCAGCCGCTACCTGGCAGATCCTGCCTTCCTGTGTTTGTTTTCAATTTTCCAGTCCGAATTTTCATCAGCTCCTAAAATGACAATTGCCGCGTCATAGATAAATGGTGGCAATGTAACGGTAAGATACCGAAGTGCACGCAACAAGGGAGCCGACGCGGGTGCAGGGCTTGACGACCAAAGCGCACGCGGGCGCTACGAACTGTTGAAATACTTACACACCAACGGCACGCGGCCTGGATGTGGCGCTTACTGGCGCCGCTTCTCATCCAGCGCGTATCGGACAACCGCACTTTGCTGCTACTGCAGTTTCTCCTTATCTTCTGCTAGACATATCTATCGAATAAAAACGAGAAAATCGAGAGGTGTTGACAAGGTGCAGCTTTAGTCGCGAGCTCGGCTGTAGCCTCGATCATGGTGGGGCTCGAACCCACATGGAAATAGGTCCCCGGGGCCGAATCTAAAAGATAGACACCCTATCCATGTCCATCGCTCCATGCACCGCCACCAGTTCCACGACCACCGCCGCCGCACTGGCTTCACCTCTGGCCTAACCGCACCGCACCTCTGCTCCTTGCCATACACAGATTCGCAAGAAATTTGCCTCAGGCACCCGCCAGTAATCGCAGCTCTTGAAGGTACTCAACTCCGGCAGTAGCAGCAGCAGCAGCAGGACCATCATGTTGATTGCAGGACCAGGTTCATGCGGACATACAGTGATGAGAAACAAGTGGGGAGGGCGTGTGTGTGGACAAGTCAGCGTGTGACGTGTCTATTACGGAGTCAACGCATATCAAACACGTAATTATACCTCGACGGTACGACACAGTGCTGCTGCTGCTGTTGCTGTTGCTGTGCCGCCAGCCTCCTGCCAAAGCCCACTGTGCAGTTATCACTAATCCTCGTACCGTACCGCGACATGAAAAACACAATAGGATGATGCTCCACAAACTACGGCACACGGAAGAGTCACGACACCACAACCGATAGCAACCGACCAGTTAATCGCCCGTACAGCCGAAACAGATTGGTAATCTGCTGGACACATCCCTCAACTCAAATCAACGCACATACTGACACTCGTAATAGTGAAGTGCTCAGCCCCCCTCAGCACCACGACGGGGTGCCGCCGCCGCCACAGCAGCACCAACACGAGCATCGGGAAGAAGACAGCGGAGCCAGGCGCCTCTGCCACCTAGGGAAGAACGATAAAGGGAAAACACAAGCGCGTCAGAGAACGTCCCATTTCCTAGAAACGGCGCACTTACCTCCTTTACCCGTCCGCGAGCCCATAACCTGAGCGGGTAGAAACCCACCGTACGAGCATCAGGCGAGCATGCGGTGGTCGGGCCCTGCATTGCAAAGTCCCGCTTCGCGCAAATAGCGACACGAACAACGGACGCGGAGGCGGGGCTGGCGAGTGGTGCGCTCTTGGCAGCTCCACCTAAGGGACTACTAAAAACGGACACCGGCGAGGCCTTGGCGCTTCTCAACCGTTCCTATCCTTCTCTATCTCACCTCCTATGCACCACCCGCCCTCCTGTCTCCCTGGTGACAGACAGTGCACTCCCGCGCAGGGAAGCGAGAGAGAACTCAGGCCACTACCAGGTAGACCACTTCCGGAATCCTGCTGTGTTTTATGACATGCTACTGCAGGTTTTATTTGAAAACTTTGCACCCGTACCGCACCGTACGTTACTGTAAGGAACCGCACCGTACCGTGTGGCATTCATATCCGCGGTACCGTGGCAGCAGTTGCCGGAAGGCGTCGTTGTGGAGCGATAGCGCGGCGTCCATTACCGCGACGGGCAGCGTTTCCCACAACGAGGTCATTAAAACACAGGCACATACTGAGATACACAGCAATCATGCTTGAATGGCGGCTAGCAACGCTAATCCGGACTTTGTTTTAGGGCTGGACACCTTTCCTTAAGGGGTCTGCTCCGCTGCGCTTTGCTACTGTTGTTCCTGCTGTTGCTGTTGCTGCTGCTGCCACCAACCGCCAGCCAAGTACGACTGCATAATCACGCGATACGCGGCGCAGGAAAACACAATCGGCACGGCGATACGTACACGCCACGATACGGCACGGATCCATATCGCCGACTTACCGCATGTATCATCTGGAGGGTGCTTGCACCGTAGATACCGCCAAGCGCCGCCGGTCAAAAGGAGATAAATTCAGATCGTTCAAGGGAAATGCCTCTGGGAAGAATTGATGGGTCCCCCACGGCAGGCAGTACCACGCTGAACAGCAATTCTGCTCACCACGCGATACGACGTCACTTGTGCCGGGGTGCAGCCAGGGTGCTAGCCCTCTGCCGAACATGCATGCCGAGTATATGCCGTGAGGAGGAGTACGGCAGAGGAAGGAGCGTCAGGTCTTAATTGGGGACATCAGGCCTACGGGCCGCTTAGGCGTGCCGTGAAATTTTCTCTCCTAGGTGATATGGATATGTGAGAGATCATGTACGAAAAAGTGGTTAGCAACTTTCGTTCGTTTTTGGTCTACAAGTTCAGAGCCATTATAGCCATGCGGGAAATCCTTCGCCGCAAATCCAATCGTTCGCTTGCTTCAAGCGCTTTCGCAGCTCTCTCCCGCATATGGCTGCCGTACTAAGGATACGTAAGACGGGTTAAGAGGACGGCGCATCGGTCGCGTCTCACACCGGCCTCGGAATCCGTCTCTTGTCCTCCCTCCCTCCTCCTCCTCCCACCTCCCAGGACCCCCGATCGATCGGTCATCCCTTAAAATCCCTCGCAATTTGCTTCTGCTGTTGCGATCTGCTGTTGCCCTCTCTTATATCCGCACACCATCACACATCATCCCGCAACCCTTACGTGGCCAGCGCTGGTCCCAAAACCATAAGAGACTCTCTCTCTCTCCCCACTTCGGCTGCCTGCTGACCAGCTGCTGCTGCTGCTGCTACTGCTCCTCCGGGGTGACAGAGGGCTGTCGGGTGTTGGAACCGAATCACTGCCCTTCAAGCCGTCGCCAGCTAGCTGAGGTAAGGCATGAACGGGAATCTCTTGACTAGCCGTACATGTCGTATGTGCCGTACACTTAAAAGCTGTACAAGTGTATGTGCAATGAACATTGCGGGACATCCACGCCCACATGCCGTGTGGGAGGGGTATCACGTGGCCGTGACGGGTCCCGGTGCGTAACAGCTAGAAACCGATGGTGGTTGATGGTTATTTCGTTGTCCATGCGGTTATTTTTGCACTGGCTATGGCTGTAGCCTCAACAAAACGACAACTACTGCAACTGCCTTACTTCACCAACATCATCGCATTTCGCACAACTCCTTGCACAAACGCAAACGTCGCCGTAAAGCAAATCAGGTTTCCAAAAACGGCACACACCTACAGAGACAGTCACACGCACACTGACATACACACAGACAGACAGACAGACAGACAGACACACGCACCCATGCACCGGACCAACACGCCAACACAGAATCGCCCACCCATCCAACCGGCACCACCGCGGCCACCCTGCCCTCTTTCCCCCACCCCCTCTTGGGGGGCAACCGACACTGCATTTCTCCCCCATTTCGGCAAGGTCATATGCCGTACGTCTTGTAGGTCATGTACGACATATCCTCTTGAATTGAATATCATGGATATCTTGAATATCATGAATTTCCCGTTTGGGCTGCCTGAGTGATGCCAGGACCCCACCACCCGTTTACCACAACTCACCACCACCCCCGCCTCCCAACCGCCCCGCCGCTACCACCCCCCTCAACCCCGGCCTGCCCCGGCCCTGTCGCCCCCCGGAGCACTCCCCCCAACCAGCTCCCCACTGCCCGCCACATCCCTCCCATCCACCCACTCCCACTCCTATTACTCCCACTCCCACCACCACCGCTACCGTTGGTCTGCTCGGCAGCTGCCTGCTCCGCTGCGGCTCCTCCCCGCTGCGTGTATCTCGCCTCCACGTGTTGCTGCTGCTGCTGCTGCTGTTGTTGCTGTTGTTGCTGCTGCGACCCATGGCCTTGAACCTGGTGTGTCTGAACCTGGTGGGTCGGGGACCGGGTCCGCTGTTCCGTCTGCAGGCGCATCTCAATCCAGTCACGGATCGCCTCACGCTGGAACCGCCGTACTTCTACGACAGACAGCGGGTCGTCCGGATGACTGAACATCAGGTCGAGGTGGTGAGCGCCCTTTTCACATCAGGAAGGGGGGAGGAGGGGGAGGGGGAGGGGGAGGGATAAAAAGGGGTTAACAAGCACGAGCGGGGCGCAGAGTGCGGAGGGAGGGAGGGGGGGGGCCACCGGGAAGGCGGCCCGGGAGGGGGGGGCCGCCCAAGTGTGAACCCTTGTCAGGGCTGTTGGGAGCCAGGGACAAAGGACGGAACTCAAACAGCAGCTCGTCGTCGTCGTTTTCCTTCTTCCCGGTGAGAATGCCGTTTTGTTTTTGTGTCTTGCGTCTTGCGCCCCGCAGGGGCCTTTATGCTGTGTTCATCTAAACACCCCCACCCCCAGGGGGGGCTACAGGGGGGGCTACGGAGAGGTCCAGAGGGACTCCCCAGCTGCTCCCCGGGACGGGACGGGACGGGACGGGACGGGACGGGACGGGACGGGACGGGACGGGACGGGACGGGACGGGACGGGACGGGACGGGACGGGACGGGACGGGACGGGACGGGACGGGACGGGACGGGACGGGACGGGACGGGACGGGACGGGACGGAACGGGACGGGACGGGACGGGACGGGACGGGGCAGCGGCCCCAGAGCGCCCCCGGCACCTAAGTGCCCCGCAGCCGAAAGCGGCCGGCCGGCCCACCTACCCACCTACCACCGCCTCCTGTTGCTACCACCCGACGTTCGGGCGCCATTTGCCCGCATGTGTATGTATGTATGTATGTCGAAGGAAAAGCGATAACGTTTGTTGTTGTTCTAGGATCAAACCATTTTGCCACACCATGCCTTTTCCGTACTACGCAACGGCTAGAGTAATTATCGTACTGTCGTACTGTCACTGCATAGAGCCCGCCGTACCTCCGGGATGATGACGGCCGGCATGGAGTCGGAGATGTCCTCCAGCACACCGCCCCCTGCGGGGTCGGGGGCACCACCAGAGGGGAGAGGAGGTTGAGGGCCCGCGCCCGTGTGTGTATGCATGGTGGGTTTGGTCGGTTTGGTCGGTTTGGTCGGTTTGGTCGGTTTGGTGGGTTCATGGAATTATGCATCGGGCCCCAGAAGAAGGAGGATAAGGAGAAGGCTGAGATCGTACAAGTGAAACCCATGACATGCAACAGAGAACGGGGCGAGTAGACCGAGAACCCGGTGTACACACATACATACACACATACATACATATATATACATACACATATACACACACATACACGCGACCTCGTGGTGTTGTGTGCCCGTTATTCGCATTGGAACTCCGATATTGGGCCCAATGAATCAAAGGCACCAGTCATGTTCTCTACGCAGTGCGAGAGGTCAACGGAGGCCCAACAGAAAAAGAGGATCGATTCGCAAGTAGCATACATTCGAACCAAAACGACGCGCCTCCCCTCATCATTCGTACACACATACAACCGCCCACGCCTCCGTACTAACCTCCGGAACCACATATGGCTTCGGAATGCATCCTGGCAGTGTTATCCGGCTGAATGGGGTAGGGACGGCTTTAGGCTGTTCGAGTAAAATAGTTGCCGATGCCAATACGACCAACTGAAAAACGACTGCGGGCACCATAACTGCTAACTAACAACTCCTCTCGACCTACCGTGCCAGGGGTCGAGCAGGCCGTTGGAGAAGACGATATTCGACCCGGCCGAGATACGCCGGCCGCCCCACTACATGCAGTTTGTTGGTTGGAAAGTTAGGCAGGCAACGTCGGTTGTGGCCGTTAGTACTTGTCAGGCATTATCGTACATGCATACATGCTATATTAGAACAAAAACTAGCCCGCAAAACGGTTGAAGCACGTGAAGGCGGACATGTGTGGCGTCTGTGCACGCCGGTCGGTCTCAGGGTTAAGAAGGCCGCGTTACGCATCCAGCCTCCCAGCCCCAACCCCAGCCCCAACCCCCAACCACCGGGCCCCCCCCCGCTGCACAGCTCATAGACTCCCCCGCTTGCAGCCCCTCCATCTCCCCCCGCACCCTCCGCCCCCATCCGCCTGCCCTTGCAGCTGATCGGCTACCCCTCTGGGCCTGATGGGAGAGCCGTCGATAGGGGTGTGTGTGTGTGCGTGTGTGTGTGCGCGTGTGTGTGTGTGTGCGTGTGTGTGTGTGTGTGCGTGTGTGCGAGTGCGTGTGCGTGTGTGCGAGTGCGTGTGCGTGTGTGCGAGTGCGTGTGCGTGTTGGGGGTTGTGGAAAGTAAGGGCGGGGTGGATGTGAGCCGTGACAGCGATAGACGGTGGGAAGGGGAGGGGGAAAGATATTCAGGAGGTAAAAGTGCCTCCCTAGTGCTGTCGGCTGTGAGGGTCCTGTGACGCCGACGCGCGTACAGGAGGTTTACAGATACAGGGGGGGTGAGGGCGCGGAGGGGGGAGGGAGAGGCACCGCGGCTGCGCACTTACCTCGGTGGTGGCCCGGAGGGGGCGCGGGGAGATGCCCCAGTGCTGCTGGCAGGCGGAGGTGGCGGCGGCCAGGTCGAAGGGCTCCCTCCAGAACATATCGCTAGCTGGAAAAAGGGAGAGGGGGGAGAGGAATCATATGAGGGTGATGGTAACACTGGTGATGAAAATATGGATAATAATCTCTCTCTCTCTCTCTCTCTCTCTCTGTGGTTGCTCGATGATGATGTCCAGCCGGGGCGGGGGCTGGGGAAGGGTTGTCGAAGAGGGGTGTTGCCGCCGCAGACGTGTATGTAAACTAGCATATATCATCTATAGGTGGAGTATAGGGACCGCCACGTCATCTCCGGCTAAGTTTTGTCGCTACTTGCCGCTAGCGAGTGCGGGGCAAGTGGGGCCAAGTGAGGAAGCGCTCCCGCTCCCCGAGCAAACACAACTCCCGTCACCAACCCCCC